ATATCTCAGTCGTTCTGTCGGTTCATGGCAATCAACCCTAAGTGATTTCACACGTTATGCCACCCACACACCACTTTCGGAAATGGGCGGTCCTGGATTGACCAGGCGGCCTTGGATTGAAACCGAACGCCCCGGGGCCTTAACGGGGTTTTTCAAGGTGGGACGTTGCTGCAATGTGTGCAGCTACCCACATACAACCTCCAGGCACGGTAATTACTTCTCTAGCGTGCCTGAGCCCGAACCTTTGCCTTTAAACGATACTACTGAGTTCTACCCATTATAGAAGTCAGACAAGCAGAAGAGGAACGTTCACAAAAAACAGCTTCAAAAGAAAATTGGATCGCTTTCCAAAACGTGTAGTGATCGTGTCGTCTCGATATCCTCGTCAAAAAAACCCTCTTATCTGATTCGCGTATTCACCTGAAAGTAGAAGTGCTGTTACACGTTGGCCAAGATTTTGTGGATTTATATTTTATGGATTCCACGCCCAGCGCTTACATTTGACCTCTCCTCCTCTACCCACTTTTTTTCTCTAAGTCATCTCGGAGCCGAATTATGAGGTCTTGTAGAAGACGTTATGAGTCATGAATTTCTGTGGCAAACCCCGCCCACTTTGGTGCATGCTTAGCCCACCAATAGCATTTAACCCCTTCCCTCCGGCAACCCTTATCCACATTTTCCCGGTCGCCGGACTTCTAGGAACCGAGTTATGAGAGTGGTGGCAAACTCCGCCCACTTCGGGTGTGCCACGCCCAGCGTTCACATTCAACCTCTACTCCTCCTCTCACCTCTACACATTTTTTCAGGTCTCTAAGTCATCTCGGAGCCGAATTATGAGGTCTTGTAGAAGACGTTATGAGTCATGAATTTCTGTGGCAAACCCCGCCCACTTTGGTGCATGCTTAGCCCACCAATAGCATTTAACCCCTTTCCCTCCGGCAACCCCTTATCCACATTTTTCCCGGTCGCCGGGACTTCTAGGAACCGAGTTATGAGAGTGGTGGCAAACTCCGCCCACTTCGGGGTGTGCCACGCCCAGCGTTCACATTCAACCTCTACTCCTCCTCTTCACCTCTACACGTTTTTTTCAGGTCTCTAAGTCATCTCGGAGCCGAATTATGAGGTCTTGTAGGGGACGAAATCGAGCTACGTATCTTTGTGGCAAACCCCGCCCACTTTGGTGCATGCCTCGCCCACCGATAGCAGTTGACTTCATCTCTTCCCCCAACCTCCATCTACTTTTTCCCATCTTCCGGAACTTCTTGCAACCAAGTTATGAAATTTCGGGGCAGACTCCGCCCACTTTGCCCATCACTTATGACCTGTACAGCCGAACTCGATAAAAGTATTTTTCCGTCCTATCTTGCTCCCGCAGGGATCACACTAGTGCTTTAAATTTTTTGACAACGGCTGGTTGGTGTAATCAACCTTTACCCTTTCCGGTAGTACTAGTAGTAGCCTTATTTGTTAATGTCTCTTTTTGAGGCCTTCAGGTAGTGAATCTCGTTTTAGCGGCTCACCGTATGAGGGACGGATCGCAATCGAGACCCGGCGAGGGCGATGGAGACAGCGATTATTTTTGGTTGGGAACTTCTCGTTCGAATGACTGAGGCATAACACTATACAAGGTTATTTCAGGTTGATTTTCTTCATCCTAGCGGCTATAGCTTTTATACTAATAGTATGCGTTATTCCTATACTAATACTACTCGCAACTTCAAAATACTCGAAGATGAAAAAAGGCGCAAAGCCGAAGCGAAACTCAAAAATGAGGCCAAAACAGGGTGCACCGATGAAAGCAGGCAAGAAAGGTGCGCCGACAAAATCGCATTCGAAGAGTGCACTGATGCAACCAAACTCAAAAAGTCAAACAAGTGGTCCAAAAGGCAAGAAATTTCAGTGAAGAACAATCATACTCATAATGTGCTATAATCATGACGAAGTTATGAACCGAATAAAAAATATTGACAACTGTCGTACTTTTGCATACGTCATTTTCATTGAACTCCTACAGGCGAAGTCCGGGATCGGACGGATTAGTCATTGCGCTTGTAAACGACAGCGGAGATGTGAAGTGTAACGCCAGCATTTCAAAGAGAACGGGAAGAAACCGTCGCCAAGACAAAAATGAAACCGCTGTTTCCATCAGCTGCGAAACGAGATGATCTGTGGGCGGGGTCTGCTGTGGTGGGCGGAGCAAATGGTAAATTCTCAGCCATGGCGCCTCAGCCTTGTTAGGCGTGGTGCCATGTTGGTACATGCTCTGCTCTTGCGTATCACTCCATATTTCTAGCCCTCGACCATTCATTCATTCATTTTTCCAGAAAACCCTGACTTTGCCTTTACATAGCTTAACATTCGAACCTGTGCCCTCGGCAAGGCGCTTACCGTCCACATGGAGTGGGAATGAGGCAATGGGCGGTAATCAGGATTCGCCACATATCTACAGGGTGGGGCAAAACTATTGGTGCACTTGTGT